ACTCAGCTTTTGTTTATTTATTTATTTATTTATTTATTTTTAGTTGAGAGGCTTGTAATGATTCATTTTGTTTCATTATGGGTAATAGGTGTCTATTTAATTTCTCCATGCTATTTTCATTGAACTTTGATATGTGGTACCTACCAAGAAAAATACGTATTTCTTTACTATTCCCACTTTTGGTGAATGAGGTGTTTTTAAAGTATTTTCTGTGGTGTTGTTGATTACTGTTATGTCCCCTTTTAATTTCTGAATGTATTGTTATATTATCTCTCTATCTCTAAGTTAATTTTGATAATGTCTCGTCCATCTTGTTGATTTTTCAAAAAAATAAGTTTTTCTTTAAATAATTTTATTTTTCTTTGTTTCTATTTTGTTAATTTTAACCCTGGTTTAATAGCTTCTTGCTGTCTAATCCTCTTGGGTATATTTCCCAATCTTGTGTTTGGGGCAATATCAAATGTCATATTGGTGGAGTTTTTCTTTGAATAGGAATTGTTCTTCCCCATCTCTTTTGATTAATTTTTCTTTGAAGCCTATTTTGATAGATACAAAAATCACTCAACAAGCTTACTTGCAAACTTGCAAAGTTTACTTGAAAAAACTAGTAAATACTTGTTAAAAGTACATGGGAGAAGAAATGGAATTACTTAGAGATGGGGAGGGTCATAGAGGATAGTATTATGGGAAGAAAACAAACAAGGAAGCACATAATCACACGTATATAAAGATGCCACAATGAAACCCTATACTCTGTATTTAAACTAAACCAAAATTTAAAATTATTGGCCTTTAAGGTAGATCATTGGGAAATGGCACTTCTCACAAAACTGGACAACCTGAGTTAAATTCCAGTGACCCAAAGTGAAAGAAGCTAGAACCATCTCCAGAGAGTTTCCTTGGATTGTTAAAGTCTGTGTGGTAGCACATGTGCACAGGCATGTGCTTGACAACAAAAACAAAACAAAAATAAAAACCATATAATTAAAATTATACAAGAAAAAACATTTTAATTATAAATATGAATTAGGAATAGTACAGCTAGGTCTGAGGCAAAGAGTTCTTACTGCTATTGTCAAATACCTGTGTTCATTTCCCAGTATCCATGTCTATTGACTTATAACAGCCTATAACTCCAGCTCTATGTAATCCAGTGTTCTTTTGTGTCTTCTTCAGGCAGTCATAGGCATGGTATACATTCATGCAGACACAATTCACATAACAAAAGCAAATATTTGTATTAAAAGTTATGAAAGAATAAACTCAACAAAGTATCAAGATGCAAACAGGCCAGATTAGAAAGGGAAATTGGGATAAAATCATTTTCAGAATCCAGTCTAGAGGATATGAGTGGAATGTGTGAGATTCATGGTGGGGAGAATAGTCACCAAAAGTTGTCTTCTGTTCTACAAACACACACACACACACACACACACACACACACACAAACACTTGCATGCACTCACCTGCATGCTTGCACACACACTCACACACACACAGACACACATACCATGTGGGAATATCAATACACACAACAAGGTGAGAAAGACTTGAGTGATGCTTATTAAAGTTTAATAACACTGTGCACCAGGAACACGCCTTGATGGAGAAAAGAATAATCAGCCAGCAAATAGGAAATCCCATGCAAAAATTATTGTACATGACAGACACAATGCAAACATTTTCCCCCACTGGCAAAAATTGCAAAAAAAAAAAAAAAAAAAAAAAAAAACCCTTAGCGCAAGGCTTGAAGAGTAGGAAGACAGTTAGAACACATGGGGTATTTTATTCATCATTTTGAGGGATACATAAAAGGATGTTTGTTGCAGTGGGTTTTTTGTTTGCTTTTCCAGACTTGTTTTCTCTCTGAATCTCAGGCTGTCCTGAAGATCATTTTGTTGACCAAACTAGCCTCAAATAGAAAGAATTCCCTCTGCCTCCTGAGTGCTGGAATTAAAAGGCCTGTGTCACCACACTTATAGCTAGTGTCCTTTATAACATTTTATAATATGAATGTTTTGTAAATAACAGGGGAAATGATAACACACAGAAAAGTATGTGCTGCCTAATAATGATTGATTTATTGGATTCTCCCTCCCCCTAGGCAACCTGGCCCTATTCCTACTCCCAAAATCTCCTCTTCCTGCCCTGGTAGTTTCTCCTTAGCACCTGACTGTCACTCCATACAAGTCCTCTCCAGGGCCAGTATCTTCTTCTTATGAAACTGTAGTGAGATAGTCCTTCTGTAGCACTGACCACACCCAATGGGGGTGGAGCCATGGGCGGAAGTGACCTGTGGAAGGTGGTCGGTGGGGGCCTAGTAAGGTGCTGTCTTTCTGGCGTGACTCGGACAGGAGAGGATCGGGTTGAATTTCCTGGTGTTCATCTGTCTAGGTTGTAAGTTATTTCTCCCTGAATAAACATCTATTCAGCCTATTTGTTTATCCTGATCCTTATTTACTGCGATATAAAACCTTTCCAGGTCACAGGCCTCTCTAAAGCTCAGGTTCCTTCCAAGCCCTGGAATCGATCTTCTCTGCTTTCTATAGACAACCTTCCCTTGCCTCCTGGACTTGTCTTTCAGAAATGAACACTTTACAATGACATCTCCAAGGCTGTTAAAGTTTAGATGGCTATGCCATGCATTCATTAAATGACCCTATAAAGACTGTGCATGCAGAGGCCACAAGGACCTGGGGCAATGAAACCTCCATGACTCCAGTTTCTATGGCCACAACTGCAGAGCCTAGTTCTAAACTGCTCCCTTTTTATAAGCAAGTAACTCCTGCCAGTTTTCTCTCTCTTTCTATTGCTGCCACCAATAGGTTAACATGTACCCTTTCCTTCATTCCCTTTTTCAATAAACACCTGTAGGTTTGTAGAGTTTGTTGGATTCATAAACTGAGGCCAGTCTAAACAACATAGATAGACTCTCTCAAAAAAAAAATCAAAAAACAAGGAAATGTGAGAGGCACAGTGACACACACTTGCAACCCAGCACTTAGGACGTAGAGGTGGATGCAGGAGAATCAGGCCTGTAAGATACTCTTTTGCTAATAGAGATTTCAAGATCAGTGTTCACTACATAAAATCTTGTGTACAGAGGGAAAGAACCCACAGACAAGCACAAAAACTTCAGACACAAACAGAACAAATCAAAACGTTATTATCTGTGATACCTATAATTAAACACCAGAATTTAACACGCTGTAACCTAAATATTTTGAAAATGTAAAGATATTTCAATTGGGAGAGTATTTTCCAACTGGAGAAAAAGATGCGCGGACACCTTTAAATAGGAAAAAAAAAAAAAAAAAAAAAAAAAAAAACGGAACAAAACATATGTAAGATACACACACACACAACACAGGGAAATCCTCTAAAGTATTTAAGAAAAAAGTCAATCCCTAACCCTGACATGTATATGACAAGTGTCATCTTTCTCTACAACTTCAGTTTAAAATTGGGTAGTTGGTATACATAATCAAGATCCAGCAAACTCAGCTACCACAAAAACTAAGACAGTAAAGTTATAGGCAGGAATTCCAGATGAGCAATGTGATCAACGCAAGAACTAAAAGAAAATTTAAAATTCAGGTAAGCACTTTGAATGTCAGTCAGGCAAAGAGTTGAATCCTCACATCCTCCCTCTACTCCAAATTGCCTTTTGACAAAGACAGGTCAATAAGAGAAATACATTGACCCACTTCACAGCTTAGCCTCCAGTCTTTCAATTCAATGATGTCTACTTATCTTGGGTATGGGTAGGGTGGATATCTCTTTGTTCTCTAGCTTCAATGTTAGGATAAAACTAAAAGGTGATCATGCATGGGGGCCATGGGAAATTCCATGGCAGGTGAGGGTGACAAAGGTGGGGTACAAACATGTATCCGGTACACCCCCTGATCGAGCCTCTAATGGCAGCTTTTTAAAGGCAGAGACTGAATTAAGGTGAATTCAGTGGAAAGCTTCATTTAGTTACCCTGAGGTTGGGGAACAGAATGGTGCTACCTGAAACTCACTGTTATGGCTGAAGCTTCACTCAACCCTCCTTCTATACCTACTCAAGGAACATAGGCTTGAGTTCTCCAGAATGGCAGCTAAGGGAAAACATCTCTACCCACACCACCTGACTTCCCCACCACACATTGTCCCTTGCCAGCAGGAAGAAGCCAGACTCAGACAAATGTGCCAACATCTGGGACTCAGTTTTGCTTAGGTCAAGCCTTGCTGGCTTCTATGTGTATACAAATGTTGCGATTATTTGGTTGCCCTGTTCCAAATCCCACTCGCAAGTGGCTGTGTATCTTCTACTCAACTGGTCCTGTCACTTAGGTTGTAAGAACCAATCAGATCCTCTAGTGGACCTGCCATTTGGTGGGGGGGGGTGTTCCTGTGAATCCAGGCTTTCTGCTCAGATCATCTCATGAAGTTATTTCTTATGCAGTGCCTTTGGCTCTGAACAGAAGGTGGTGAACCCTGGGGTGGACCCTCTCTCGTTCCCAATCTGTCTGTAACTCTCTCATTCTCCCTCACTCAATTTCTCACTCTATTTCCATCTCTCTGTCCCTCACTTCTCTCTCCTATACTGCACATCCAATCAGAATGGCAGGGACTGAATCCTCCTGAGCTGAAATGCCTCCGTGGGTCTTTATTATTATCTGTGTAAGTTGTTATCCAATAATATACTCATTTATCATTTTTCTTGGGTCTAGAACACTTATTAACACCCCATTTCCACATGAATTTATTTTATTTATTAAGACTAAAGTCAAGTATGATGTCTAATATGTTCACTAACTCTTTTACATGATGTGGGATTTCTCTTCCATGATTTCTTCTCTATAACCTGATATCAAGATGTTAAAAAAGGGTTAGAGACACAAATGAAAAAAAATTTATGAAAAGTTCATTACCGGGTCCTGCCGGGAGCCGGTGTGGCCGTGAGGGCAATCATGTCTTGCTCCAGCCGCTGGTCTGGCATGGTGTTGGGTGCTGGCCCGCCTCGCCTGACTCGCGGTGCTCAGAAGAAAGGTGGCAGTAATGCTAACACTGGCTAGCAAGCTGAAGCGGGATGATGGTATCAAAGGATCCCGGACATCAGCCTCCACATCTGACTCCACTCGGAGGGTTTCTGTGAGAGACAAGTTGCTTGTTAAAGAGGTTACAGAACTTGAAGCTAATTTACCCTGTACGTGTAAAGTACATTTTCCTGATCCAAATAAGCTTCATTGCTTTCAGCTGACTGTAAGCCCAGATGAGGGTTACTACCAGGGTGGAAAATTTCAGTTTGAAACTGAAGTTCCTTATGCCTACAACATGGTGCCTCCCAAGGTGAAATGCTTGACTAAAATCTGGCACACCAACATCACAGAAACAGGGGAAATATGTCTAAGTTTAGTAAGAGAACATTCGATTGATGGCACTGGCTGGGCTCCCACTAGGACATTGAAGGATGTTGTTTGGGGCTTAAATTCATTATTTACTGATCTTTTGAATTTTGATGATCCACTGAATATTGAAGCTGCTGAACATCATTTACGAGACAAGGAGGATTTCCGGGACAAAGTGGATGGATACATTAAACGCTATGCCAGATGATAAGAGGAGAGATTGCAGGTCTGAGGACTGTCACAGTTGTCTCTGATGTGAAACAGCTCGAGGTAGCCCTCCTCCCCATCCTCATACTCCCTGTCAGCCCCTTGGGATTGTCCCAGTCTTGCGACCATGTTGTCCTGAAGAAGACCATCCTCCTGACTACACAATACAGCAAGAAAATATGTCTGGACCTCGAGAGCATTGTCTGCTTCCCTTAAAATGTTTACTGAAACTCCACTGTCTAGGCTGTGGGATTCCTCCGAAGTTTTAATGAACTCACCATTGAGGATAGCGCTTGCTTCCCTTCCCCCCAACAAAATCGGTGTCCTGCACAAGTGATGTAATGACATGTTCGGTGTGACTGGCAGATTGGCAATAAGAAACCCGCTATAAATTGTGATTGGATGCAAAAAAAAAAAAAAAAAAAAAAAGAAAAAGAAAAAGAAAAGTTCATTACCATGAATCATGCCTGTTTTATGAGAACATACTGTAGTTCCTCCTACTGGTATTCTCAAGGGTATAACCTTATTTTCAAACACCATGAACAGTCACAAACTCACACACTGACATCACATAAGTAAAATTAAATCAAATCTCTAAACAGATTTTCATATGTGCATATTTTCTCTTGTGAGCACTCATTCCTGTAATTAAATTATTTAAACTGCCAGTTCTTGTTAGTACCCAAAATAATGTAAATATTTGTATAATTATGTAAACCAATAATCCTCTATTCCATGAAGAGTCCTGTAAAGCTCCCTCTTGGGGAGTTAATATACAATATCATCACATTTTATGATTAATTGTTTCAATTGATGACAATGACATCCTTCCTGACTGGAGTCTGGCCATTCTTCCCTGCCAGTTAAATGCTACATCACCTCTTCATTGTGATAGATAGCTATTACTTACTTATTTAATCATTTAAATGATTTAAACGATGGACAATGGCATCATCGATTCCGATTAGGGTGCAAATATCTGCCAGAGACGAGGTTAGGAATATTGTAGACATGGACACAGCACTTCCTGAATGATCTATGCATCATCCAGAGTACTATGGATGATGGATGATTGAGTTGCGAAAATTCCATGGTACCCTCCGAGAAGTACAAATACGTCACAAAGGCAGGCTTGGTGGTCTGGGTGTTTGACTCCATGCTCTTCCTCCATATCTTCACATTGGTTGTGATCTACGATTAGAAGAAAAGGTGTCACAAGGAGTTCAGCTACATGGCCAAGATCTCGCTAAAGGATGACAACCCAGAACATGGAAGAAATGCTCTCTCTCTCGGCTCTGCTGGTGATGACCCTGCTGCAGCCATCTTTTGAGCTGATATCAAAATTTAGCTACTATTGCTCTGCCAGGTATGGGCGCATCATCTCAGGTCCTGCCCCACAAGAAGAGAGATTCAGGCGCAGGTGATGAGGTCAGGCCAGCAGAGTTCTTCAGGAAAGAAAGTATGATTGTTTGATTATTAACGTATGGAATTTTAAAAATCATTGATGACAGCATAATTTATCATGTTTGGCATGTCTGCCCAGGAATTGATAATACAAAAAATATCAAAGACTAACATATGTAAAGGTGTAATTATTGAATTCTTTCATTATATAAATGGTGAACCCTGAAGTTTGGTGCCACCTTGTGTCACTCAAGTGTGACAGACAATCTATCTTTCTGATTCTTTCATTACTAAAATCTGTCTTTTTCTACTCCAGGAAGAGTAGAGTATGGATCCACCTTGTTGGTGTTAACTGTCTCCTGTGATTTCATTATTTATTTATTTAAATCAATGGTGATATCATTTTGTTATCTCTCTAGAGGTAAATTATGAGAAATGGTCTCATTATTCATTCATTTTTTTTGTTCAAATCTATGATTAAAAACTCAATGATGTCTTCAGTTTTGAGCAATCTCGTAGGGGTCATGGATAAAACACCATCCACTTGTTTAATTTGTATTCATTTAATTATGAAAATCTGTCATTATATATTCAGTGATCACTGGAATTTTGAGCCCCCTTCTAATAGTCAGTCGTGCCAGACCATCACATCATCTAATACTACACTAACTTATTTAACTGTAAAATTAGGAAATTAAATAATAATTCATCATTTCATTATCGTATTTAATGGAGTCAGGTTTTAGCAGTTGATGATGTAACATCATCTCATTACTTGATTATTTAGCTATTGAAATAGATCGTTACATCAGCCATAGGTTTACAAGTTTGGTGCCATCTTGTCAGAGTTAACATAAAATGCCAATTAATTGATTTTCAATTTAAGTTTTTAAATAAATCCTTATTCCAGGAAGAGAAGAGTCTGACTTCTCCATGTGGTACTTAAGTATGCATCACCATGTCATTGTTCAATTTTTTTCCTTATATATTAATCATTGAAATCGATGAAGATGTTGTCCTTCATGACTGGAATCTGGCCATTCCTCCCTGGGAGATAATCGTGTGGCCTTATTTAATTATCTAAGTAATACTTCCTTGACTATCGCTGGAGTTTGGCTCCATCTTATGAAAGTTAAGTATGGAGGAATTTCCATTCATTACTTATTTGGTTATGTAAATAATGATGGTGTCATACATTATGGGTTTGGCTGCTGTGAGATTTTCACATACAAGAAATCGGTACCAGAAGCAGTGCCCAGAGAATGAGGGACACTGGGTTATCCAGTGATTACTGATTATATAATGATATTTATTTAACGATCGAATGGTTAAAGATTTTAAAAAACTGTAATACTACGCATGCTAATTTTCTTAGAGGTTGTGACAGAAGTGACCCATGAAGGACACAGTCAACACTGACTTTAAAAATTGAATAATTTAATAATCTCATGATCAGAGATTCTTAGCAAATGACCTACATTGTGCTGATAACATGACACACCACCAATTCTAAATAACTCTAAATAATCATATTAGAAAGTGGGATAAAGGACTCAATAGGGAATTATCAGTTGAGGAATCAAAAATGTCTGAAAGAAACATAAGACAGTGCTTCACATCCTTATTCATCAGCCAAATGCAAATCAAAACAACTCTGATAAACCATTTGATCAAGTTGCTCTAAAGGTAAGAGAATGAAGAGTTTATTTTCTTTTCAATAAATAGAAAAGTATTATGGTAGAGGCGATTAATGGTGTTGTTTCCATTCTGCAAATGAGAAAATTGAAGCATAGAAAATAGGTTTAAATACTCATCAATATTCTTGAATGGCATAATGATGCTTTCGTTTTCATGCTTATATCACTATAGGCATGTTGTACAGAGACTGGTAAATATGTGTATAAAAAAAAAAAAAAAAAAAAAAAAAAAAACAGGGCCCTGCTTTGTTTTTGTGAGAAAATCAGTGAGGCTATAAGGTTAGTCCATTGGTGGGTATGCTAACTTTAGCATGTGGGAGGTGCTCTAGAATGTGACAGAATGTTGGATCATAAATGTTGCATGGAAACACTGCTTGCATTATGTATCCTGGTATCACAGGCCAGGGACCAGAGAACAGCTTCGATAAAGTGTTTCCATGGCACATTACAATCTCCCAAGATAACTCTCCTAAATCATTTAATGACAGCATGTGATTCACCTCACAATGTCTTAGCCAAATCTCTGGAATTTTGCCAATAGTTTTACTGGTTACCCGATTCAAGATTACCTAATATCAGAGAACATAGTCTGTGGAGAAACAGTTCAAAGACTTCTATTTATGAATGCTCTCTCTCTCCTAAGAAGTAATATAATTAATTAAAATATAATAAGACTCATAATTATTCATCAAAAGGTGAATTTTCCATTGTTTACTTCCTTCAGGAAGGTGATAATCCATTTGTTAGAGTAGACTTAGGGATTATTGGATTGCAGTCCATCAATTTTGAGGCAGCTGTCCAACATTAAATATGTGATATCATCTAAAACCCTGCATACAAAATGACATTTCAGCATTTACACATTTTACTACTAAACACTGCGGTTAAATAAGATATGAACTGGGGAGTTTCACACAATTTTTTTGGAGTCAAGGGAGAGACAATTGTGTCCAGGATGGCAGTCCATTTCATCCTTTGATTATCTTATTAATTCATTATTAAAATAGGACATTAGATAATCCATGATCAGTGGAATATTGTTCCACAATGTGGGAGCCAAATATTTTCGACCATCCAAATATTAATTATGTAATTAAGTTATTTAAATTAATGATGACAGCATTGTTCACGAGTCTGGTTTGGTGCCACATTAGAGGCGTTAATGATGTTACATCAACTCATTGTTTGATGCTTTAGTTATATAAAACAATGATTATAACATCCATGACACCTGGAGTTTGGTGCCACACTGTGGCATCAAGTGTGGCAGATCATCTTATCACATAATTATGGTATTTACATTGACAATTCCTGATAATTCCCAAGATAATGTATAGATTTGTATATTTATGTAAACCAATAATCCTCTATTCCACGAAGAGTCATGTAAAGCTCCCTCTTCAGGAGTTAATATGAAATATCATCATATTTTATGACTGAATGTTAGAATTCATGATGATGACATCCTTCATGACTGGAGTCTGGCCAGTCTTCCTTTCCAGTTAAAGACTACATCACCTCTTTATTGTGACAGTTAGCTATTACTGCCTTATTCAATTATTTCAATCATTTAATCGACTGACAATGATATCATCTATACTGATTAGGGTGCAAATATCTGTCAGGGACAAGGTTAGGAACTTTGTAGACATGGACACAGCAATTTCTGAGTGACCTATGCATCACCCAGAGTACTACGGATGCTGGATGATTGAGTCCAGAAGATTCCATGGTGCCCTCCGAGAAGTACAAGGACTTCACCAAGGCAGGCATGGTGGTTTGGGTGTTTGACTCCCTGCTCATCCTCCTCATCTCCACATCGGTTGTGATCTACGATTAGAAGAAGTAGTGGCACCAGGAGGTCGGCACCATCACCAACACCTCGCACAAGGATGATGACCCAGATCACGGAAGATCTTCTGTCTCTCAGTGTAGGGAGCTGTCCCTACATTCTCCATTACAATATGGCACTGGCATCCGGCTGGCGGTTGGCATAAATAAGCCTGTGCACGCGTGCAAGGGGATTTCTCCCGCGCCTCTCCCGTGGCGACATTCGGCCTGATGAGTGAGCAACCAGTCAGGGAGTGACACGTCCTAAGCGAGGCTGAGTTTCTATATAAGGGTGTGGGTTTTTGCTCCCCGGGTCTTTGCTCTACAGTTGGTGTAAGCTTATGCTCTGCCTCTCAAGAAGCATTAAAGCTATTATCGCAGAAGGATCCTATCTGTGTGCTGCGTCGTTCTTGCTGGCGGGACAGTAGCGCGGGACAACTGTTGCCGAAACCCGG